ATCTTCTACACGCATATCCAAGGGTCCGAGACGCGCATCAACAATATCAAAATCTAATTGCTTAGATAAGAATCGGAGATGCTCATTGAATTGGTTATGCATTTGTCCGATTTTGGCCGCGGAGACGAATCTCGTTGGTTTCCACCGGGGTGACAAAGATAACCAACCAATGGTACGGATACCAGGGAATGACTGGCGAACAAAACGTATGAGCTCGCTGACTCGCTGCAGAGAAACATCTACTCCGTACCGCCCCACATCGTTAGTACCCAAACAAAAAACTAAGAATTGTTTATCTCCTACCGTACCACGACCTTCAGGTGTGTTTAACCAATTTATCATTTTAACAATATCACAACCTGATTCATAAGATAATTCAATGTTAATATAATTATTTTTTAATGCATAAGTTCTCACACGAGAACACATTGAATCGGATAGTATAATTCCCTTAAAATTATTATTATTATTATTAATATTGGGTACGGGTACCGGTGGACGACGATAATTATTTTATTATTATTATTTTGTTGTTGTTGTTGGTAAATACGACGTGGTTTTATTGGTGGTGGACGAAATGGTGAACGTGATCGGGAACGAGATTGAGATGGTAATTGTGATAACATATGGAAACGGGTACGTGATGTTGGACGTGGTAAATGTTGATGATGTTGCTGATTTGGATGATATTGTTGGGCGTGATGGAATGATCGGGTATTATGTTCAGATGGTAAATGAAATGGATTAATATCAAGTAAAGATGGTAAATTTTTGATATTATTATTATAATTATTATTATTGTAAAAGTTGGGTCTACGATAATTATTGTAACGATTATAATGGTAATTTTGTTGTTGTTGATAACGATTATTATTATTATTATTATTATTATTATAAAATGGTGCTGGTGGTAAATTTTGACGTGGTGCTGGTATAGGAGGTAAGTTAATATTATTTGAACCATTATAATTTGTGTAACCATTGAATGTTGTTGTTGTACCTGTTTGAAATTTATGAAAATTGTTGTACTTACGTTGGCCAGCCCCATATAATGCTGGTTTACGTTGAACTTGTTGAGTAAGATGTTGGTAAGTTGGTGGAATTGTTCGTGGTGCTGGTTTTGGATTTAAATATGCAGGACGCATTGGTGGAATATTAATATTTGGTAAATTTG